AAGAGGGAGAGACTTTTCTTCTTCTTCTTGAATCAAGGAAATAGAATGAGATATGGGGTTGAGAGGGAGAAGAAGGGAACCGGGGGGGGGGGGGGGGGAACAAAAAGACGAGAAAGGATGGATTGCTCCATGTCATATATAGAGATATAAAATACAATACATTCATATTATTCATATTATTCATATTATTCTTATTCTTATTATTTTTTTTTTTTAAAAAAAAAGGATGTTGAAACCTCTTTTGGGATTTGTTGATAGACTTGTTTGGGACTTTCCGTGACTGCGAAAAAAAAAAGGTAGAATGAGTAAAGTACTACGGGTCGTCGTCATAAAGTGTTGTATGTGTATATATCAAGAAAAACAAAAACAGAAACCAGACCAGGAAAAGAATGCCAAAAAAAAAAAAAAAAAAAAAACCTCCAAGTTTTCGTATAATTGAAAGAAAAAAAAAAGAAAGGCAGAGAAAGGATGAGACATGGAGAGAGAAAAAAAAAAGCCCCCGTATATGAAAAAGAGAAGAAGAATAAAAGAAGATGTGAAAAAATCAAGATAAAACATCCCATCTCTTCCTTCCACGTGTATATATATTATCATCTCCCAGTTTCATCCCACCTTTCCTTTTTTTTGTTGCCCAATGCCGGTATTACCTGCGGACCAAAGAAAGAAAATATATATAAGTAGTTGAGAGAAGAAAAAAAGGAACCCCCCCGAAGAGAAAACTTCTGTGAAAAAAAAAAGAAAGAGAAAGAGAGGACCTCTACCACTTTCATTAATGTATTTCCCCTCTCATCTTCTCTGTTCAAGTCTTTTTTTTTTTCAAATGCTTTTTTTGGTTTGTATATCCCTCTTCTTTTTTGTTTTTTTTTGGGTTTCTTTGTGTGTGTCCTTGTCATTCATTCGTTTTTGCGTGTACATGTGGTGGGGTTTGACCACTTTTTTTTTTTTTGCCTTCTCTTTCACTTCGTTGCGGGTTTACAAGCTTCGAGGGAGGAGTCGACGAAATCTTGGGGCGGAAAATGTCGTGCGCGTGTGTTTCTGATCAGGAGAAGCACATGGGGACCGGGTGAGGGAGGGTGGGAGGAAACGACGTGTCGGGACGTATATACTCGGGACTGCATACGCTCGCTCTCTCCTCTCACCCCACCTCACCCTCACTGCCTCACTGCCTCACTGCCTCTCCCCCCCCTCCACCCCAACCCACCCTCTCTCGATCAACCCCCCTCCGGTCTCATTGGCCGGCGAACTGGGCATCCATCGGCGTCACTCCGGCCTCGACGTTGTGGTAGTCGAGGATCTCCGAGTACCTGGTTACAGGCAGGTCAGTCAGTCACGAGGTTGGGCCCCACGGCCATGCTGGCGACAGGAAGCTCACATCATAATCTTCCAGGTGTCGACGGGGAGATCGGCGTCGTTGAAGCTCCAGTCGAACTTCTCCTCGGCTATGGGCTCGTCCGAAGGGTCGTGGTAGGGGGCGAGGTACTCGTGCGAGAGGGCGTCGCCGGCCGTTATGCGCGTCTTGGGGTCGAAGACGAGCATGCGTTCAAGGAGGTCGACGGCTGAGGGATCGGAAATTTCAGCAACTCGATGGCCGTCTTGCCGTGCAGACATGAGTGTTGGTGGGACTTACATTCGGGGTCGGCATTCTTGAACTTGTCCTTGAGGGGCTGACGCTCCCGCTTAGGCAGGGACTTGACGAATCGCAACGTCTGGTTTTCAGTGGTTGGTTAGCGACGCATGTGGTATCCTTCACAGTTCGGCACGATGGATTCTCCGTGGTCGTGGTGTTCCCATCTCTCGCGCGTGGATATGGCAAGGGATACTCACGTTCTCGCTGGCAATGGTGTTGATGACGTCGTCGGGCGGGGTTCCGAGGAGTTCGGTGATGATGGAGAACTGGTTGACGTGGTCCTTTCCGGGGAAGAGAGGCTTGCCGTCGAGCATCTCGGCAAAGATGCAGCCGGCACTCCAGATGTCGACCTCGATATCGTATTTTTGCCAGGTCAGCATGATTTCGGGGGCCCGGTAGTATCGTGTCGAGACGTAGCCCGTCATCTGAGGGTCCTGGATACGGGCGAGGCCAAAGTCGCAGATCTTGAGATCGCAGTTTTCGTTTACGAGGATGTTGCTGGGTTTGAGGTCGCGGTGGACAACGCCAGCCGAGTGGACGTATTTCAGGCCGCGCTGTTCGCGTCGTCAGTCCGGGTCAGCTGGGGCCGCGGTTGAGGCAGGATGCAGAGGCAAGTCGGGAGGGAGGATGGACGCACCATGATCTGGTAGAGGAAGTACTGGATGAACTGCTTCTCGAGGGGCCTTGACGTGAGCAGACGATGCAGGTCAGTGCCCAGAAGCTCTGTGACAAAGTAGCTGGTGGCGGGAGGAGAGTCAGCGGATTGGGCATGATGGATTCGGGGGAGGCCGGGGGCGAGAGACGTACAGGTCCTCGAGAGGGGATATGAAGATGTCGCTGAGGGAGATGATGTTCTCGTGACGGAGGTGCTTGAGGAGCTTGAGCTCACGGTAAGTGCGCTTGGCCAGGACGGGGGTGCTAAAGGGCTTCATGATCTTCTTGACGGCGACATTCTGGTTGGTAAGCTGATCGCGGGCGGAGCTGTATTACGTGCGAGGGGAGCAGAGGTCAGCTGGTATTCTGCTTCTTCTGCTTCTTCTTCTCCTTCTTCTCCTACTTGATACTATTGTCTCTTCCTTTCTTTCTTTCTTGGGTGATGGGATTCTCAAAAAAAAAAAAAAAAAAAAAAAAAAAAAAAAAAAAAAAAAAAAACATACCAGACCAGACCAAAGGCTCCCATTCCCACGGGTTGCAGATCCGAATACCTGTGCGTGTGTGAGAGAGAGAAGGTGAGTTGAGATGAGCGAAGGGACAAAGCTTTGATGCGCAGAAATGACATCAACTCACCTCGAGGTGATTTCAAAGGTAGTGCCAAAGATCTGGGCACGAACAAACTCGGCCATGATGAACGGGTATTAGTCAGGGCCGAGTAGATCGGCGAAAAACGTCGTTGTGTGTGCTTTACGTGGAGAGGGCAGAGGTAAAGGCGGGGGAGGGGGGGTTGAGGCGAGAGGATCGAAAGGTTTGGTTGGTCGACGGCTGGAATTGCTCCCAGGGAAAGCTGAAGATGAGAGAATCGGGATGATGGAATAATCTGGCTGATGTCGCTTAGGTATGAAGAGAGGTCTTGGTTATCGCCTTCGTCAGACTCTGAAGGTCTCGCAAGGTATGCGTTGGGGAGAGAGGGAAGGGAAGGTGTAGATGATGTCGACGGCGATGGTGAGGTGGGGAGGAGGGAGGGGAATTTGAAGAGATTCGAGGTGTTCGTCGTCGCCGAAATGATTCAGGGAATCGGAGAAACGTGAGGATGTGTAAGGGAGAGAGATGGAGAGGGAGATGGAGAGAGAGATGGAGAGAAATAGAGATAGAGAGAGAATGTGTGTGTGTGTGTGTGTGTGTGTGTGTGTGTTGTTGATAAATCGTAGAGGGGACGGATGGCGGTTGGCGGTGGTGATGGTGACGGGGAGACAGTCACGACACACGATGAGAAAGGAGAGCGGGGTAAAAAAAAAAATTAAAAATTAAAAAAAAAAAAATTAAAAAGAGAGAAGGAAGTAGAAGGCAGAGAGAGGCTCGGTGTGTAGTGACGGATTTTGGCGGGCGCGTCACAGAAGCAATACGTCAGGGTAGCCCACAGCGGGCCACTTTTTTATCATTATTCTAATAGCAAGTCTGGAGAAGGGGAGGGGAAGGGAAATCAAGTGGTGATTCTATATATATCGTATATTAATATGTATAAATCTTATCTTTGACAAGTAGTACGTATATACATATATACATATATAGCCTGTATATACATATATACACATATACACATATATACACATACATGCATACATACATAATTCATATATACATACATATATACACACATATCTGCACACATATCTGCATGCATGTATACATACTTGTATACGTCTACAATGAATGAGATTGGTTGCAAGAAAGTGAGAGAGTGAGAGTGTGGCTTGCTTTGGTTGTTGATGCTGGTGTTTGGGTATTGATGTTGGAGGAGGGGGGAGTGTGTTGTTGTATCAACTTGATTCCTGTAGGCCAGTGCTACCATCTTATTTACTATGCTGGGATTACTACTACCGCGGGTGAGTGCGAGCAGACGATCGATGCAATCAGAGAGAGAAATTGAGGAAGAAGAAGCAAGGCCCCTGGAATACCCAGTGCGCAAGTCTAGAGTAATATATGTAAACGATATTGCTTGGTAGAGCAGCAGAGCTGGACCTAATCTTGTCAATCTGTACATCGCCCCCCCGGTACAGGAATTCAACCCGCAATTCATCATACAGTATTGCAGGCAACATCGACATGGACATGCCTACGGAGCATTATCAGTATTGCTGTTGTTGTCGTCATGGTCATCATACAGGCACATCATGAGACCCCGGCAGCCATTTCTCTTCCTAACGCCGAGAGAGCCCACGGAGAGAGACGAGAGAGTACGAGAGCCCCCCCTCCCCCGTCGCTGTCATCATCTCACCCCCGTATTGGATATAAGATCCCCGCTGCATCATGTACCATTTCCGTGCAATGGAATTCAGCAGAATCCCCCCTCCTCTCCTGCCTCTATAGACTGCCCCGATGAATGGTTGATGACGGTGCCTAAGAGGCCGTTGGACGCACAGGCCCTTGAGGATATATTACGGATAGAGAGGTCCCTCCGGAAACAGAGCGTAATCCTCATATATATATGTATATATATATATATATGTATATATATATATATATGTATATATATGTATGTATAAATACTCCTCTTTGGCCTTTGGATGCTGGATTCAGATGTACGGTTCGTGGCACGATGATGATGATGGGACCTCGACATATTAATATCATTCTTATTATTACTGCTACCGCTGATTACGCTGCCCCGGGAACCCATCCACACACGCATCAACCGTCATCATTACATTACCATCCGTGATAGCAGAAGAAGAAGAAAAAAGGAAAGAAAGAGAAGCTCCCCAAGCTCCGCCCTAATCCAGATTGAGCCCAGCTCCAACCGCGGTGATGATTTGCGTCATACAACGTCACCCGGCGTTATCGTCGTCACCAAAAAAAAAGTAAAATAAAAAACCCCAGTGCATCAAGTTTTGTGAAGTATCGATATGCTATTACTCGTATACTATATATTACTATGTAGATGTAATGCCAATTTGCTTTCCATCTACGAATACTCGATGCCCTTTTTTTCTTTTTCTTTTTTTGCCATCCTGCCCACCTCAGTATCAAACCCCCCCCCCCCCCCCCCCCCCCTTTTATACCCTTGGACCTCCCACACACATCCCACCCTCATGAATCATCCTTCATATATTAGTTGTCCAAAAAAGAAAGATGAGACAGATGTACAATAACAAGATGATGATGGATGATATTGCAATATTGATGATGATGATAATCACAGTATCATAACAATAATAATAATAATGATAATAAAAGCATCCCCCGCCTGTCCTGCCTCAATCTCTTCTTGTCCTACCAAACCCCCCAATCCTATGATATCTGCAAGATAACACGGCACGGGATAGACAGACGCACACAAGGGGCTCAATACCACGTACCAATCATGATTCTCTCTCACATCCTCATGCACAACGTCATCATGAAGGAGATCCAGAGAGGAAAGAGGGTGGGGGGAAAGAGGAGTAATGTAATGTATTGTTGCTTTGAAATGAAAGGAAATGTATATATAATATATGTATATACATACATATATATATATCGTGATTTTGAGAACATCTAACCAATAAGAAAGAGCATGTGATCCGAATCCGATGAAAGATGCCTCCTTCCCCCCCCCCCCCCCCCCTCCACTTTCGATAATCTCACTCTTTGACAAGCAGAGGCTCAACGTTCCAGATCGAGTCAGCATACTCGTTGATGCACCTGTCGCTGCTGAAGAAGCCCATCCTCGCCACCGACAGGATCCCCTTGGTCACCCAGGCGTCCTGATCGGCGTACGCCTCGTCCACAAGTCTGTGTGTCTCGATGTAGCTGTGGAAGTCGTCCGAGACGAGATAGTAGTCTCCGTGGTCCCTGACGGCCGAGATGAGCGCGTTGAAGTCGTCGGGACGCCCGAACGTGCCCTTCTCAATCTCCCGGAACACGGCGTCCAGGTCTGCGTCGATCTTGTGCGTGCCGTACGTGTGCGCGTGTCGGAGGTCCTCGACGTCTTCGGCCAGGTTGCCAAAGAGGAAGATGTTCTTCTCGCCAATCTCCCGCGTGATTTCAATCTGTACGAGGCAGGAAATAAATCAGCTCCGTATCATATCATATCATATATATATATACACGTAGTGCACATGTCAAGCAAAAGTACAACTCACGTTGGCACCATCACATGTTCCGATAATCAAGCCTCCGTTGAGGACAAACTTCATGTTGCTCGTACCGGATCCCCTGCGAGGCACGTAAACGTCAGCTGACTTGTCTCCCTCTTTTCCTTTCACCGAGGATGCAATTGAGAAAAAGAAAAAAAAAGCAAAAAGATGGGAGGGGAGAAGAGAGACGAAGAGAAGGGAGAAGAAACTCACTCCGTTCCTGCAGTCGAGATGTGCTCAGAGATATCCGAGGCGGGACAGATAATCTCGGCCTTGCTGACGTTGTAGTCCTCGACAAAGATCACCTTGAGCAGGTCGCCAATCTCCTCGTCCTGGTTGATGACGGCACCGGCCGTGTTGATGAGGTGGATGATCTGCTTGGCCATCCAGTAGCCGGGGGCGGCCTTGCCGCCGAAGACGGACACGCGGGGCTGCTGCTTCGCGCGGTCCTCGGGGCTCATGGCCTTGAGCTTGAGGTAGCGGTGGATGACGCCAAAGATGTTGAGCTGCTGCCTCTTGTACTCGTGGATGCGCTTGACCTGGATGTCGAAGAGGGCCGAGGGGTTGACCTCGACGCCAGTCGTTTCGCGTATGTGCGCGGCCAGGCGCACCTTGTTGGCGTGCTTGATCTCGGACCACTGCTTGCGGAAGGCCGGGTCCTCCGCCAGGGGCTCCAGGCCGGACAGCTTGGTCAGGTCCTTGAGGAAGCCGTGGCCGCCAATCTTGGAGGCGATCAGCTCCGAGAGCCGCGGGTTGGCCTGGTGCAGCCAGCGCCGGGGCGTCACGCCGTTGGTCACGTTCATGAACTTGTCCGGCCCGTATATCTTGACAAAGTCCTGGAACAGCGTCGTCCGGAGCAGCTCCGAGTGCAGCTCCGCCACGCCGTTGACCTTGTGCGACCCCACGATGGCCAGGTACGCCATCCGCACCATCTTGGGCTGCGACTCCTCGATGATGGACACGCGCCGGAGAATGTCGCGGTCGTCCGGGAACGCCTTCTCCACCTGCTGCAGGAAGAAGAGGTTGATGTCGTAGATGATCTGCAGGTGTCGCGGCAGCAGGTGCTGCACCAGCCCGACCGGCCACTTCTCCAGCGCCTCGGGCAGCACCGTGTGGTTGGTGTAGCCGAACGTGTTCGTCACGATGCCCCACGCCACGTCCCACTCCAGACCCTCGATGTCCGTCAGGATGCGCTGCAGCTCGACGACTGCCAGCGTCGGGTGCGTGTCGTTGAGCTGGATGGCCACCTGGTCCGGGAACTCCTTCCACGGCCGGTTCGTCTTCTTGAACCGCCGCACAATGTCGTACAGCGACGCCGCCACCCAGAAGTACTGCTGCTTCAGCCGCAGCTCCTTGCCCCTCTCGAGGTTGTCGTTGGGGTACAGCACGTTGCTGATGGTCTCGGCCCGCTGCTGCTCCGCCACGGAGCTCTCGTAGTCGCCGCTGTTGAACTTTTGAAAGTCAAACTCGCCTCCCGAGGCCTTGCTCGACCACAGACGGAGGTTGTTGGTCGTCGGCGTGCCGTATCCCGGGATGGGGACGTCGTAGGCAATCGCCGTGACGACCTCGCCCCCCTCCCAGATGGGCTGCGTCTTGCCGTCCTTGTCTGTCTCTTTGCGAACGTTTCCAAAGAATTGGATCTTTTGCCCGTTTTGTTTCAGTCAATGAACCGACTCGGTCTTACTGCACAAACGCACACGGCATGCTCGACGGAGACTCACATCGACAGTCACATCATGACGGGGATACTCCCAGGGGTTGAAGTCGAGCCAGTAGTCTGGCACCTCGACCTGGTAGCCGTCGATGATCTCCTGCTTGAAGATTCCGTAGCGGTAGCGCAGACCGTATCCCCAGGCAGGGTAGTCGAGCGAGGCCAAGCTGTCGAGGAAGCAGGCAGCCAGCCGACCGAGGCCGCCGTTCCCCAGAGCAGCATCGTGCTCTTGGCCGATGACATCTTCGATGCGGAAACCGAGCTCAGAGAGACCGGCTGATGGTCGAAGAATATTGTCAGCATCTTTCTTCGCTTCTCTGCCTCTCCTACCCACATACCCTGCGCAGTATCCTTGAGCCCGACATTGAGCATGGCGTTGTCCAGCGCGCGGCCCATGAGGAACTCGAGACTGAGATAGTACACGCGCTTGGTGTCGGCGTACGTCTGGCGCTGCTGCGTGCGGTTCCACTCGAGGACGAGGTTGTCGCGGAACGCCAAGCTGGTGGCCGAGTAGGCGGCCTTCTCATCGCAATTGAACATGCTGCGGGCGAGCGTGGTCTCGACATGGCCGACGACCTTCTTCTCAAAGGCCTCCTTGTCATGGAATCCGGTCGATTGAGCACGCTTCCAGGCCTCGCGCTGTGGTTCAGGGATCGAGGCTATTGTGCACGGACACACACGACCTAGGTGTCAGCGGGTCATCCATCTTTCATGAGGGATCATCGACTCTGCACAGAGAGAGAGAGAGAGAGAGAGAGAGAGAGAGAAAACATACCGACGACACTCTTTATCTCACTAGCACCTAGACCAGTCAATGTTCTTCTATGCTTCGGGCGTGACATCCCCTCGGGGCTGACGGCGCCCTGGATGTCGACGATCGGAGCGCCCAACGAGGGGCGACGCTCTCGAACAGGGATACGCTGAGGCTCCTGTTCAGACATTTCTTCTTCTTTTTTTTCTTTCCCGGTCCCTATTTCTTCTTGGTGTGTTCCTCTTGTTTGGTATCTCACATGTCCGTCAGTCAATCAATTCCCTTACATGATGCGTGGAACAACGACATGGGCTCGCTCACTTATGAAGCTCTCCCAACGGGGAAAGTGGACAAGAGGGTGGGGTATGTAATATGCTCCTATATCTGGGGAACGCGCGCGCGGGGTGCTTGAGGTGCTTGGGGTTAGACGAATAGGCCAGATCGAGACGCTGTTCTTTTCCTTTTCTGTCCTCTTTCTTTCCGTGACAACAAAGGGTCAATGGTCTCTCAGATGAAAGGAAAGATGGAATAGGTTCCCATGATAAAGGAAAGGAAGGAGAGGAGAGAAAGAAGAGGAGAGAGAGGGGAAGCTACGGGTGACGCAGCTCCTTCCCGGGATTGCAGAACGCCTCACGCCATTTTCTCATCTTGGCAGCTTTGCTTCTCTACCTGACTGCTACAAAGGTACTAACGATACTCCCGTACTGTATCTCGTGTATATTACTGCCGCGAAGATACAAGGTAGGAGGGGGTACAAGCATCGGCTATGGCCTACAGGTGGCGAGGGTGACAGCCGACATCACCTAGCCGATGGACCTGGTCAATGGCAATCAGTCACCTATCAGTCCATCTTCCGCAGTTGGCATCTCTAGAGGTAGCATTGAAGGAACATCATCGCTGCTGGCAAAACAAGGACAGGTTCCTGATCCTTCTCGTATCCGTCGCCGCTGACCCACGTGTAGTTGTTGCTCTCAGGCACCTTGCAAGTTTATCTCGTCTAGAACTCTAGAGCGATCGATATCTCTATCAACAATACTGCATGCTCTCTAGTAGCTGTCCGAGTACATTGCGTGTATCGACTGCTCTCGCAACCTACCGTAACACACACACACACACACACGCTCTCTCTCTCTCTCTCTCTCCATCTCTCCCCCTCTCTCCCTCTCTCCATCTCTCTTCTTCCCGTCACTTTTGTCGTGACTGCATGTTCTGTGCTCTGTCCGTTTGGATGCTGACCTCTCAGCAACGGATGGGCCGGACATGGCACACCTCGGGGACCAACGCTTCGAATCACGGTGGGCCGGAACCGCAACGCAATCTGCACAGCCGTTCTAATTCTGGTCTGGGGCTCCATGGGACGACGCGCACGAATATCAATGTACGAACACCCACCCGATGGAGCCATCCGTACTTTTTCGACCCTGCTCCTTTCCCCTCCCCCGTCCCTCCCGGAGGAACGAATCGAAAAATCGTGCCATGACTGTCCGTACCGCTAGCAGCATTGCTCCAGTATGGCTCCATATATCTGCTACAGCCTAATGCTAGGAATGAATACATTGTCAATTTCGGTTCCGCATATCGTCAGAGCGGGGAACGTGGTACCTCCCCGTCATCTGTCACTTCTCGGGGCTGACGGGCACGATGAGCAGACTAAGTGAGCATCGCCATGCCGTCGTACAGGTATGCACACACGCACACACACACACACGCACACACACACATATATATATAGACATGTGGTGCAGACACACAGAGTGAGGCAGCAGTGAACCCTCGTTCAGGTAGTATTCTCCCGATTTTCCAAATGGCTTATTGCCTCAGTCACCCAATACCCCTCAAAACATAGTGCAATCATCGACTCGATGTGATACCATCATCTATATCGAAACACCCATCATCCATCATCAAGGTCCCGACACACACTGCCCTCTGGAGCCCTTTCGCCAAACCTGCCCCGCCCCCTCCGGCCACATGACCAGTCCTCGCCAGCTCCGTACGACCAGGTGCACACACAAGGCACCATGCATCATGCATCTCGCCTGCTTGCCCAAGGGGGTTTCCCGTACTCGACGGCAGTCTGCAGGCCATCTAAGACTGTCTCAAACGATAATTCGTGCGGGGCAAAGAAGGCGAACTCCCTCCCCCATGAATTAAGCCAATCTCCCCGAGACCCGATCAGTAGACGACCAATCTAGGATCACCCGGAAAACCCACCAGGCCATTCAAGTTCTTCTTGCAGAACTAACGGAAGAAGACTAAAGAAAACACGCCCATTGATCCAAAAAGACGCTCGCTCGTAAAAAAAAAAAAAAGGAAACAGTATAGAAAACAAAGGATTGATGGCAAGACACGGCCCAGAGACCCGATAAAACGCCCTGATCAACGCCGATATAATGCCCGTGGAAGAAAAAGAAAGCCCGGTAGTAAGACAGAGTGGTTTGTTGGTTTCCCTTGTTTTGTTGTTTCTCGGGTCTAGAGAATTCCCGAGTCCTTGAGGGCATTATTCAGGATAGTCTCCTTGACAGCTGCAAACACCAGTCGGACATTGGACGTGTCGGTTGCTTGGGTGAGACTGCACGATACGCATAGCAGTTAGCCATCATCTCTGCGGTGCAGCAGGGGTGGGGGAGGCAGAGAGGGGGCAGAGGTCGACGTGGAGACAAGGGACGGAGGAAGGGGAGAGGGAGGTGGAAAAGAGGTTGACGGAGGAGAAGGACAAGAGACGTCGGCCGACTCACTGAGGATACAGGTTGAGGTGTGCCCTGTTGACCTGGTTGAACCGCCATAGGAGGTACTTGGCAGCCTTGTTGACGTCGCTGCCACCCGTGTAGTCCGGGAAGTAGTTACCCAGCGGTGACCTGGGCAGCTTCTGTTTGAATATGTCGACCTTGTTGAGGAACAAGATGATGCTTGTCCTCATGAACCATCGCGAGTTGACGACCGAGTCGAACAGGAGCAGACTCTCCATCATGCGGTTCTGCAGTTGTCAAGCTCATGTCAGCCATGCCGCCCCCCTCTCTCCCTGTGATCAGGGCGTTTCCCGCCTTGGAAATTCTCGGGGCAAACATCCGCGGGGCGGGGGTGAAGATACCTGACTACTCTCTTCAAGCAAAACCTGGTCGTATTCGCTGAGGGCGACGCAGAAGATGATTGATGTGACATTCTCGAAGCAGTGAATCCACTTCTTCCTTTCGCTTCTCTGACCGCCGACATCAAACATGCTGTGTACGGGTTAGGCGAGGTCAGCCTTGAAATCCTTCCCTCCCGAGAACCGTCTGTCTAGCGGCAGGGAGGGGTGGGAAAGAAGTATCGGATACTAACTGTATGCTCAGCTGCCCCATCTGGAACCTCGTCTCGTAGATACCCGTCGTCTTTGTCCGTGCACGGAGCACATCCATCTCGGTGGGCAGGTAATCCGGGTCCGCGATTCGCGCAGCCTCCTGGAAAAAGTACTCTGCCGAGTCCATGAGGTAGAATTCGGTCTGGTGCTCCATCAGGAGGGCCTTTGCCGGATCGTTCCAGATGGCCTGAACGGCGACGCCGACTTCCTGGTCAATGTGCGCCTGGGGGCCCGACTCGGCGTGGTATTCCAGCAGGAACTCCGCATATCGCTTGTTCTCCTCCAGCTGCGGCTCGAGTTCGAACTGCTGCATGGCGTGGATGACGGCCTTGGCGCACTCGACCAAGTTCTTGAAGACGGTGGCGCGGTAGTTGTAGAGCTCGTCGTCCGAGTAGCCCTTGAGGTGGATAATCTTCATCTGCTTGACGATTGTCGACTTGCCGCTCTCGCCGGAGCCTGTCAAAAGGTCCGTATTAGCTATCGTGCACCTTCCACCTTCCCCCGTCGACGGTCTCTTTGGGTCCATCCGTCCCATGAACATACCCAGGAGCAATATCTTGCATTCTTTCCGTAACCTCTTGGAGTCCTCCTCGAGTTGTTTATCAATGGCTTGGCTCTTCTTTTTCTGATCTGCCTCCTCATTATTCGAGCTCATGCACATGCCCATGGTGGATAGTCGTGGGTACCGGCGTCTGGCGCGGTTGTTTCAAGGCCCCGAGGGGTGTGCGTGTAGATGGTATAAACGCCGAGCTTGAAACTTTCCGCGTCGAGAGAAAGCAGAGAAGAAGCGAGAGGAGGAGAGGAGAGCGAGGCTGTCTGGTCGCGAAAGAATAAAGAATACGTCGATGTGGTCGAATGAGCTCAATTAAGCACGGCGCATCGTCGACAGTCTGCGAGAGGACGTGTGAGGACGTGTGAATGGTTGCCAGACGGCACCAGGGGATAGATAACAGATGCGTCGGAATCGGCTGTCTGCGGAGTAAGTATGCGTCGGGTGAGAGGCGGGTGCAGGCGTCGTATCGTTCCAAGCGCTGCAACGGATAGGCAAGCTAAGCTGTGGGAGCGAAGGGAGAGAGATGTACGTGCGAGAGAGCGGAGTGGCGCCGGCGCTTTATGGGGTGGTCGAACGGGCGATTGTGTCGGTATCAAGGAAGAGGTGTGGTAGGTCACGCGGAAGACGGAGAGAGGGAAGAGAGGTGGTTGAGCAGGAGGTTAGGAGGAAGGATGGGCAGTAGAGGAGGAAGAGGAGGAGGATGATAGAGGAGGATAGCAGAGGAGGAGGAGGAGGAGGAGGAGGATGACGGAGGTTCGTCAGGCGAGGCTAACCGGGGCCCTTTGTGTTCTGCCTGGTGCTGCAGTTGGGGGACGGACACACACGGGCGGCGGTTGAGGATCTAGGATGGGGGGAGGGGGGGGACTTTGGACTTTCCACCTATAGATGGGCTTTCTGTGTGGCTGCTAATACTGCCAGAACCACTAGTAGGTACCTGTAATCTGTAGTGATAGTGGTATTAATATTGTACAGAGATACAAAGCCTCGTAGGCGTACAGAGAGTGACGAGTGATTGCCCATCAATACCATCAATGGCTGGACCCTGTATCCATATCTGCAGTGGGTGTGTGTCGTACTCGCTAGCTGTACCGGAGGGAGGCACCACCGGGGCAAGGACTAAAAAAAAAAAAAGGACTGGGGTTTTTGCGACTTCCAACTTTGAGGAGGAGTCGGCCACAGCACGAGGAAAGAGCGACGGTCGGTTGGGATCCACCTGCTCCGCCGACGAGAAAGAATACGTACTTTTTCCTTTCTGCTTTTTTTTCCCCCTCTACTCTTTCTCTTCTCTCTACCATCTCCCTCCAGAGACCATACAGGTGATGATACTGCTTATTACAACAATGATTTATAATTCTATCCCATCTCCTGACTCTCTTATCTCTGTGCTCCGACAAGTACAGAACAAGCATACCAAGGAGGCAGCCCGACTAAAACCTCGTAGACAGCGGCCGGGCGGGACTTGGCGTCCATTTGGCGTCGAACTAACGAGTCTATCCCCAGCGGCCGCTACTTGACCACATACAGGTACGGAGGAGGTATTGAATTCCCTCTCAAATGCTGGGTCTACGACGGACATGGTCCGTATTACCTACTATCACACAACCACAATAATCTGTACACTCTGGCCTAGGCCGTAATAACTTGTAAGTAATAATACGTCGTAGGACATGCACGGCCGACAGGGGGGTGGGGGGGAGGCCGTGGGAACTGGTGAGTAAAAACGGAGCAGTACATGTAATCTGTACACCGTCGGCAATAATAGCAGTACGAGTGTGTACAGGCAGGTAGACAAGGGGGAGGCTCGCCAGAGACGGAGAGAGAGAGTTGCGGCCGAAGGGACCGGTGACGGGTGGCGGATGACGGGAGTGACGGCATCCAGCTGAGGTCACTCGCTCTCTGCTGAGTCTTACTCGTAGAGTAATAGCGATTAGGGCGAGAGGGGGAGAGAGAGAGGGAGAGAGAAAGCAGAGCTTCATAATCAAGATCAGTTGACGATATCGCTACATGTGAATACAGCTCGTGCTAGACCTGTTGCGGATGTTTTCCATTTTTAAGGCGAAGCGTTCTTTCTTAACAGCGGAGCTCGACGAAAGGGACGAAGTAATACGACGTAATTACCCGTAAACACTCCCACTTGAGGAAGGAGCGTGTCATAGCACGAGCTGATCGGCACATAGCTGCCCGGGCCACTCGACGATGCGGTTAATACCTGTCGATACCTCCCTCCTCTGCTAGGTAATGAATGCTCGGTACACCGCACTCCGCATTTTCCTCCCTATTTTACCTCACCCAAAATCACTCTCCGTAAGAGCTAGGGGAAATATGTCCACACACGCAGGGCACAAGTTTGCCCACAATTATGGAGTAGTCGCACACATAAATCAGTACGGAGTAAGATGACATTCGTAGAAGGAAGAGAGAGAGTGCAGGACCTCTCATGGGCTCTGTAGCGGCAAGTCACCGTCCCGCGTTACTCGAGCCCAGTCAGTATCGCAGAGTAGTAATATCAACAGCCGCCATCAGCTCCAGGGATTGTTATATTAATCATGAGCGCGGGTACTTTTTTCCCCTTCTTTATATGTATATCTGAGGGCAGTTATGCTATACCCATGTAGCACTCGTGGCATTTTAGAGCCAACAACCATGGTGACCTGACATCCTTGCATCCCTCTGTGACCGGGGAGGGGGGGGCATCTTCAGGTTTTATACCCACGACGGACTACCCCCAGTCTGTGATTTCCCTCGTGGCTCAGCCCAGATCCGCTCCTTGACGAGATGAAGAGGGCTAGGAGGGCTAGGTATTATTAGGCATTGGGGAGTAATACGATACATATAGGGCCAAGACTTCTCAAAGAGTACACTCGTAGTATTACGGAGTATTCACGCTGCAGCCATTAAATTCGTTGTAGAGCCATCAGCCAATGATACACGTGCAGATTAAAGGGGAGATGGGCCAGCGAGCAACGGAGCAAGTGCATACATGATACATGTAGGCATCATCTCCAGGACAGCAGAGCTATTGGGACTAGCGACGGTTCAAGAAAGGGTGAGCAGTTTTGGCTCTGTGGGATATGGGCATACGCGTCGATTATTGCAACGTTTCAATACTCTTGGTGCGTATCATCGGATGATGGATGCAGCACTCGTGATCCTGCGCGAGCGGAGTGCTGAACGCCCTTGCACGTCTTGGCTGGAGGAGTGTTGAACCGTATGGGCAAGGGCATGTAGTTCGTAGGAATACTGGCAGTAACAGACGGGATGAGGCGAATGGGTGCATACTCAGATTCAGCCAAGCGCAATCTTCAGGAGAGAAAGAGTTGGAGAACGGCTGGTTCCGTCGTGATGGATATAATCTGTACATGTATGCCGATGGCTGGGTCTCCTCGGCCTCGCGCTGCTATCAATACCCAGGTATCGATACCAGACGATACCGGGTATCAAGTAGTAGCAGCAGTCGCGCATCTCTCTTCCTCACCTGGATCAGATCAGCAGTCCTGACTATGATGGTATCGATGGTGGTGTTCGTAAAACGGGGCATCGTCATCAGCAGTAGCAGTATCAGCCTTGTCTTCCAATCGATACCTGCACATGGCTAATCTGTAATCTGTACTCCGTACATCTGTATTATACTTGTTTGAAGAGATAGGAAGGGAAAGAGAGAAAGGAAATACATGGATGGCACGAGCCCCCCTCAACTTTCTCGGCCCCCCCCCCTCCCTCCATCAGATTCCAGTCCTCTAAGGCTGTCGGGCATGCGAGCTTTGAACCACCCAAAACCGGGGCGTCTCTTCAGCCTGTTAGAGGGCTCCCCCCCCCCTCAGACACACACGTCACATCCATGGATGGATAGCCTATCATAATAATAATGCAAGTAGGTATAGTACCTGTGCCCGTATACTTCAAAGTAGCCTATAGGTAGGTAGCCGGTGCTGCCCACTGACAGACGCAGCGCAGCGACCACCGTAAGCGACCACTGTAGACGACCCGACAGCCGCCCAGGTACAGGGCCGGACAGTGCTCGAGCAGGCACTCAGGCAGGCACGGCACGACACGCAGTACAGATACAGCGGCCACTGTAGCCACCAGAAGCTGCTGCTGCCATCCATCGTATTATTGAGCACGTTACCAGGTGGGACTGTACGTGTTGCGTATAGGATGACGCCGATGAAGAGCAACTACCTGTCTGTACCTGTCATTCGAACGCTTCCATTCCACGGTACGGTACCCAGTATCGTCACATCTTGACGCCGAGCATAGGCTCTATCGATTCCTTCAAACGTCGTTCTGCCCTGCTGCTAAACGGGCTCTGATGATCATAATACTACCAGACATACGAGTATTGCTACTCGACCCCGGACCGACTGGTCGGGTTTTTTAGGGGAAGGCAAGAAGCAAAAGCAACGCAAACCATGTACGGAGTATCACCCGTACATGTCGCAGAAAACCCCCCAGGCAGACAAACACGACCGTCCCTGTCTTATTGGCTGCTGCCGCCGCTGCCTCTCATGTGAGACAGAGCTGGAATCCGAGTCGGCCTTGAATGGGGCGGGCGCAAATTCTCGCCAGAGCACCACCACCCACCCGAAAACCGATACAGGGGGGAGGGGGGAGGGGGGAGGGTGGTCACTGGTCAGCCATAATGCCCAGCTCTGACAGCTCAGAATTCATTCCCCATTCTTTTTAGAAGTGTGGGAAAAAAAATGCTTCACCACGGGCTTTACGGCTAGCAATGTTGATAGTATATGTACAGATTAGGGGTAGTACGTTACGAGGGTTACCAGGGGGAGGGGGGGGCAAGATCATCAAATGGCAATCAATTGACACGTGGTAGTGGCTTCCAAAAGCAGAGAACACGGCGTATTTGACGACATGAGCTCGTTGGAGGAGTCAAGTACAGAGTACCTGTATGGAGTATTAATAACATCAGTGCTGAGATCAATGTTCATGGCATTAGAGAGGGCCCAAAAAAAATGAATAATTGATGATGAAAAATATTTATAAAAAAAATTGTTCTTTTTTTTTTGAAGAAGAAGAAGAAAAAACCTCGGGATCAAAAGTCGTAGATCATCTCTATACGAGCTGTCTCTGCAATCACAGCTACGAGTAGAACTGACCAAGTCCACTTTGTCGACGTACTTGTAAACGTGTACGGATTACATATATACTATATACATGTATTACCATACTCCGTATCATGTATTATCATATGCCAATGGTCGAATAATGCTCCAGCCACAAACCCAGCCCTCAACTCTGCGACGAACGAAGACGAGCCTGCATAAAACAAGTCGAGAGGGGGGGGTCATGAGAGACTCGATACCTGGTACAAGGCCATCGCCAACATGCGGGATGTCCAATGCGAATACGCTCAACTTATATGCGAGCAATGACTTAGCAGCTACTCTTCGGTAGTAAATAGTACTAGCGGCATCGCGAGCTCAACGCTCTCGATACACCCCGGTCAAAAGGACGAAGCATTCTATATGTAGAAGCTCCTTCCTATTTCATATATCCGTACACGTGCTTCAGAACCCCCCCCCCCCCCCCCCCCCCCCCCCTTCGGAACCGTGGGACTCCATGGGACTCTGGCTGGCATCGCACGATCACCCCATCTCCTCGTCAACTGCGGACAGCAGCAGGTTAAACCCGTTTCCCTCCAGAGAACATGACTTCCCCAGGGGACGACACACCACCTACCCACATGTAGTGTATACATGCAGCGGCGTATACATGTAGTGTGTACACATGTGTACACACAGCATGTACAGATTACCTGTAATGCTAAGCCTGCTCGTACAGAGAGGATGCTGGCCAACCCAACTCCGTCGCACTCATGCATTCCATAGGGCAATCAGGTCAGTCCCTCCCCCACATTGTCGACAGCGAACGCGGAAGCTCTCCTGCCAACTGCATGATAAAGCTATTCCGGTCACACTCCTAGGCTGTCTCGCCTCGCGTAACAGAGTCCAGCTTCTCTTTCCTTCTTCTCTTTCCCTTCTCCGATGGAGACTCGTACCCTCCGTACCATTACATCGGCACATGTAACGCTGTCCCGTGACGGACCGAGGTGGCCTTCCCACCACTGCTGCCTCGCAGTAATCATATTCGCATGCTCCGCGGCTCGCACTAACAGCGCAGACTAGTAGAGGGCTTTGCTGCTGGAACGGCCATTGCCATGCATACCTGTAGATGCTCATCCCCCTTCTGCTCTCCGACTTTTTTTCTTTCCTTTTTTCCCCTTCTCACCCTCTGTTTTTTTTTTCTTTTTCAGATCGTACCAGATCCGGTGCCTCGTCCTACATACATTGCACATGCAGGCACGTGCTGATGACTAATAAAAATGAATCGAGCTTCTTCACACGTGACATGGGCATCGACAGTGACCGTCATACCAGATGGCGTCTGGCGGGAGAGGAGAAGACGAGAAAAGAAGGATCAGAAAAGAAAAAAAGTCAATGTTACAGGGCGGATGAAGAAAAGAAGAGAAAAGAAGGCAGACTGCTGTTCGTCTTTAGTTTCCGGTGTGGGGGAGATTCGAACTGTAGACTCGGCTATTGCGCATCATTTCCACTTCAGGTTCGTATCAGGCAGCCCGGAACTTGATATATTCAAGCTTCACCCAATCTTCTTTCCTTTTGGACATCTTCGACATCAGAGCCAGAGCCGAATCCGACTCCAGACGTAGAGAACATCGACAGCCCTGTCCCATCGAGAGGGGGGGATTCTGCAGTACACCATTCAATCGATACGTCTCATCTCCAACCATGCGAGCATCCCAACCCAGCATTTACCGAGTCTAGCCCTCCTCCCCAGACTTGCTCGTTTACCGCCCCTCTCCCCACCTTCTCACCCCCCCCCCCCCCCCGTTGATCCCCCACCACACGCATTCCATCATACATACATCATACATACATACGAAGTCAACACCACACGGGAGTTGAAGATCAATCTTCTTCCCACCATACCCCGCCAGCCCGCCATGGACGTCGACGACAGGGGCATTGCCCGCAGCTCGACCGCCGCCGAGCCGATCGAGTCTGGTACCCCCCCTACGCCACCGGCCGAGCACGGTCACGATACCGAGGACAGCGGGGACAAGTCTGGCAGAGATGACGATGGTGACGGGACGGCCGCTCAGCCGGCGGCAGCAGATGATGCTGGTGGCCCTAGGCCTACACCGCCAAGTGCAGCGGGCACCGGGCCGACGACGGGCACCGCGACTCCCAGTCCCGTCAAGACGCCAAGAGTGCCGTTCACGCCCCTCGTCACAGTCGTGGGCTTCCATCACGCCCGTGGCCCAGAGGTCGAGAGCTGGTTCGGCGTCGACGAGGGCGTCGACCCTGCCGCCAAGTACAATTGGGGTCTGCTGCCGTTCATGGCCCTGAGCGACGGTGCACACGCGTGAGTTCCGCCCCCTCCCCCCCTTTCTCCCTCCCCGACATGTCACTGTACAGAGAGAGCTAACTGGTCTGGTCTGTTCCTCGATGAGATAGCTCCGAAGAAGAATTCTCCTACTTTACCCTCCTAAAGCCCGAGTCGTCCGAAGGCCCGGCTACCAGCCTGTTCGGCATCTCGTGCACGCGCCAGCTGGACTCGACCCAGCTCATCAACCGACCCGATGACGTGACGCGGTCCACGGTGCAAAAGGCCGTCGTCGTCATCGCCGACAGTCCGAAGTCGTTTGGCCTGATGCGCCAGCGCCTGGGCATCGTCACAAAGGCCTGGTTCGACCAGCGCGACTTCACCGACGTCGACATCCTCAAGAGGTTCCAGGAGAGCCTGTCCGAGGAAAAGTCGAGGGGCATCCTCGAGGAGGAGGCCGACCGCGACCAGTACATCGGCATGAGTCTGAGGGAGCTCGTCCACGAGTTCAGGTGGCAGACTCTGGTCTTGCTCAAGTGTTGTCTCCTACAGCCCAAGGTGAGTTTATCAGGGTGAGAAATTACGGGCAGGGAACAAGATAAAGAAGAAGGAAGAGAAAGAAAGAAAGGAGAGGTGATTGGAGGGAAGAGAAGTTGGGGAGCTAATGCGTTTCATGTCTTTGTGTAGATGCTCTTCTTTGGATCGAAGTGTGATCGGTTGTGCATGGTGCAGTTTGCCCTGGTATCGCTCATTCCCGGCCTCATGCGCAACCTACAGGACTGCGCGGACCCCGAACTTAACAGCTACGAGACTGGCCTGACCAAGCCCACGAGTCTGCAGAGTAGTAATCGCAACTCGCTGCTGTCGTTCATGGGTCTTCCCCTGCAAGTTTTTGGAAAGGTAACGATTTCAGATCTGGCCACGTCTGGCCATGGCCCCCCTCACCTCTCGGCTTCTTCCCGTTGCTGACGCCGGAAAACAGGGAAGTCTGTTCGGGCCCTACACGCCCCTCCAGCAGCTGGACGTGCTGGCCGACTTCGGGACCAAGTCGTACATAGTAGGCAGCACCAACTCGCTGCTCCTGCAGCAGAAGGACCGGTACAGCGACATCCTGATCAACCTGGACGAGGACAGCGTGAGCATCACGTCGTCGTCGCTGCGGCAGGCGCTGGCACTGACGGCGGCGGACCGTCGCTGGATCGACTACCTGACGCACGAGGTCAACGAGACCTGGGACGAGTCGGACCCGAGCCGGCCCAACAATATGCAGTACGCTGGCAGCGAGGAGTTCATCCGGTCGCAGTTCGAGGCCTACATCCTGGGGCTCATCTCGTCGGTAAAATACCACAACTACCTCGTCCTCAACGGCGGGGCAGACGTGTACGGCTCCAGCAGCGCGTCGCCGGCGACCGAGGCCGACCCGGCCATCGACTACGGCCTCGACTGGGTCGAGGCGTGGTCGCGCACCACGAACTACCGCATGTGGGACGCCAACACCGACGCCAACCTCTTCGCCGTCTCGGAGCCCCGCCACCCCTGTGCCGGCGGGCTCACGATCGAAGACGTCCAGCGCCGCATAGCCGACCAGGTCAAGGATCTGCACATCGACGAGCGCCTCGCCCAGGGCCGCGACATGCTCGGCCGCAACCTGGCCGCCGGCCGCGACAAGGCCTCCACCATGTTCAGCCGCATATACTCTGACGTGGAGTACCTGCGTGAATCTCAGCGGCGTCGCGCCGAAGATGCCGCCGCCGCCTCCAACCCGGCCGGCACGGAGAAGACCAACGTCTCGTCCCCCTCTCCCTCCTCCCCTCGCGCCTCGTCCCCCTCCCCCTCCCAGACCTCGACGTTCTCTGACATCATCAAGGCCCAGCAGCAGACAGCAGGCGCCCGCGCAAGCGCCTACATGTCCAGCTGGGCGGCCTGGGCGGGCGAGAAGCGCAAGACAAGCGGATGGGGTGCATCGTGGGGGTCTGGTCGCAACAACAACAACAACAACAACAACAACAGCAACAGCAACAATAATGACAATAATAGCAGCAGCGGCAGCAGCAACAGCAACGGCAAGTCACGTTCTCCGACAGACGGCGCCAACAAGCCCACAGACGACGCCTCGTGGTCCACCTCTACGCCCACGCCCATGAGCCCCGGCAGCCGGAGCTCCGAGATCGACAGGTCGGCATACACCAGCCTGGACAGCGACAGGAAACATCCCGGCCACTCTCAGCAGCCCAGCTTCAGCGAGAGTATCCTGTCCGGGGTGACTGATGAGTCTGGTCGTCCGGCCACGGGGCACAGCTCTTCTGCCTCGGATTCTCACGAGAAGAAGGATTCACAACATCAACAATCTTGATTGATCTTTCTTCTTTCCTGTTTTCCCTTGCACTTTTTTTTCCCCCCGAATAAAAAAATAAAGGAAAATACATGTTGTTCTTACTTGTGAATATATCACCTTCTGTTTCTTTAGGGGGACGCAGCAATAACAGCAACAATACGATACGCATTAGCATATTCAACCCTATTTCAGTAATGATGGAAAAGAAAAAGATATCATGAATTACTTTATCAGCATATATGCCTTTTTTCTTTTCTTGAGAAAAAAAAAAAAGGTAGGAGGGCATTAGCAAGGGGAGCATAGATAGCATACGTTTCAAAAGAATTTGGGAAACAAGGGAATCGAAGAAGAAAGAAAGGAATTGAAGAAAGAAACCCCCGTTCTATATCAAAAGCACTCTTCACCATCTTATTGTATAATAATAAAAATATCACTCCTTCTCTTTTTTTTCTTCTTATTTCATTTCTCTCATAATACTACTATAGCTATATACCCTGGACCCCTAAAACAAATATTCATCTTGCCCATCTCAGGGGTTTTTTTTTGTTGTTGTTCTATCCCGATAATGACATGTATCGGATGTATCGGGTAGATTTACAAATACAGGGAGGGATATATATATATATGTATATATATATATACATGTGAAGACGACGAAAGTCATCTTGGTTGATGTGTTGAATTTTTTTTCTGGGGGAGGGGGGGGGGGGAACGGAGGGGTGGTTGGTCTCTTTTTTTCCTTTTTTTTTGTCCTCAAAAATCTTTCTATCATGACTTTCCTTCCTACAAAGTTCTCTCCGCTTTCCCTGGATCCTTTTATATATATTCTACGCCAGATACCCTAGCTCATCGTCCTCCAGACGTTCAAGGTACTCCTTGTCGAGGAGGATCTCGATGCACTTCTTGATGTCGCCGACCTTGGGCACGAAGCGAGAGCGGATCTGGTTGATGGTCTCGCTGACTAGCTGGGAGTGCTTCATCTTCTTCCTGGCCTTCATGATGCGTACAATGGCGGACTGTCACGATTCGGATTAGCATACGCCGTCCTCTACGAGAGGGACGGATGTGAGAGACAGGAGGGGAGGAGGAGAGGGCAGAGGAGACTAACCTGAAGCACAAGCTTACGGTCCTCCTCGATCGTCTTGTTGGTCTCGGCCTCTTCCTGCTTCGACTCCTTCACGCCACCGAGGTTGAGGTTGACGCGGATCTTCTTGTGCTTGAAGTCGTAGTTGAGCTTGAACGTCTTGACGGTCCCCGGCTTCTCCCCCGCGGCGGCGCCGGCCGCGATGAGCACCTTGGCCTTGAGGATGATGGCGAGGGCCTGGTCGAGCACCTCGTTGCTCAGCTGGGTGGCGCTCAGCATGTCGTCGTACGTGTTGGTCTCCTTCTCGTTGAAGAGGAGGAGGATGGCCATCTGGTAGACGGACACCTGGAAGGTGTAGGGCGTCTTGCTGTTCTTGCAGTAGCCCGCCTTGATCTCGCCCTTGCACAGGTGCCACAGCCACGTGAGCTTGCGGCCGTCGTGCTTGTGCTTGTAGAAGCGGGTGAAGCGCTCAATGTCCGACTGGATCTCGAACGGCGGCGTGAAGTTGGTGCTGGGGGGGGTCAGGGGCCAGAAGCCGGTGCCCAGGATGGAGAAGGTGGAGTCGAGCGTCGTCGCCACGTCGTTGTTGTCCAGGTGGGCCCTGAACTCCCGGTTGAGGTCCTTGGAGAGCTCCATGTCCTGATACATGCGCTGCAGCTTGTTGGTGTACTCGAAGCCGCAGGCCTCCTTGAGCTTGCCGAGCATGCTCATCTCGGCATCGTCCGACGACGAGTTGCTGTGCACCAGCCGCCTGGCCACCATCCGCGAGTAGAACTTCTGGAAGACGTCCTTGTCCTCGATGTACTTGAAGATGGTCATGATCTGGCCGAGCGTGTGCTCCAGGTCCGACTCCTCGATGCTGGTGCTGCTCTTGCGCAGGAGCACGTCGGTGTACTTGGCGAGCAGCTCGGGCGACTTGCTAGAGCCAGACTTGCACACCTCGTTCCGGTTGACAAACTCGCGGCAGGCGTTGTCGAGCGACCGCGTAAACTCGGGCTCGTCGTCGAAGGCCCGCTTCACCAGGCCGTGGTACTGGGTATGGACCTCGAGGAGGGCGTCGACGTAGACCTTGGGCTCGAGCTTGTCGCCCTCGGCCGACTGGACCTTCTGGACGGCGCCGAGACCGGCGTTCCTGACGTGGGCCTCGAACTTGGCCCTGAGCGGGTCGAGCCCCTCGGGGATGCGCGCCAGGAGGTTGTACATGCGCTTCATGTCGTCCTCGCGGTCGTTGTCGAGCAGGACCTGGAACTCGTCCCTGAGCAGGCCCGAGTGGTCGGCGATCAGGGCCTGGTTGCAGGCCTTCTTCAGGGGGACGGCGATGTCCTGGTGGAGGTACATGCCGACGCGCTCCTCCTCCTCCGCGAGGCGGTCCTCGGCCTTCTTCATGAACTCGACGACGCTGTTCTCGGCGACGAACTGCTTCGACTCTGCCTGGTAGAATTCTCTGGTCGCCTGCAGGAAGGGTCGCTCGAAGTGGAAGCGGTAGACATCGAGGGTCGACTTGGAGCTGTCGCTCTCGTCGAGGCCGAGGGAGACGAAGGAATCCACCACCTGCTTTATCTGGCTGTGCTCGATGGTCTCGCCCATCCTCTGCTTCTCCACCAGCTTGAGGACGGCGTCCATGACCTTGGACGAGAGCTTCTCGAAGAGGACCCTGCGCCACTGCACCAGATGCAGGGTGTAGACGTCGTAAATGCTCTTCTTGCCCTCGTCAATCTCACGCTTGACCCAGTGCCTGTTGAGGTAGCGGAACAGGTGATGGATGTACTTGGCGGCGGTCGTGTAGCGGTTCCACTGCTTGATGTAAAAGGTCAGCAGGGCTTCGTCCGTGTGGAACTTGGACTCCTCCACAAGCCCGTCGAGGTGGGCTTGGAGGTACTCGATCAGCTTTCGATACAGGTCCTCTCCGAGAAGGTGTGCTGCGGCGGGGAACAGGCGTCAGCTTCACGTCTAGTTGCATGCGATTCCTCCCGATCCACATACCTCCGCGCTGGTTCGTGTGCATGGCAGGACCTGACGACGAGCCGACGGCCTTTTGCGAGGTACAGAAGTTGTGGATTGCCCTGCAGTCGGATCGGCGGTTAGCAAGAGCAAGCTGCGTCTCGACGACGGGTCGAGACGGGAAAGGGGGGGGGGTAAGGGAGCGGCGGGACAGACGTGTATACGCCCATGTATATCTGCATGTCGATACCAAGCTCTAGATCGTCCATGATGCGTGAGATGCTGGCCTGCAGGTACCCCCATCTGTGATCTCGGCCCAACGTCAGTACATGCATCGAGGCGGGCCAGAGAGACGCACGCGTGTTGCGAGGCAGCATCGGCAACGAGGAACTCACGTCGAGACAATGTCCTCACGGTTGGGCATCTTTGCTAGTGGCGCCGGCGGCTGTGCTACCCTCGACGCCATCGTGAGCACGTAGTCGCGGGCGTGCCGAGGTCAACGAGGAGGTATCGATAGCTCGCCGCCGAGACGATGGGGTGGTGATGTCGGTAGTGGCGGTTGTGATGGTGGCGGTTGTGATGGTGGTGGTGGTGGTGGTGGTGGTGGTGGTGGGGGGGGTTGGGGGTTGGGGGTTGGGGGTTTCGAGGGTGAGGACGTCAGGGAGGGGTTCCCCAGACGGCCGTTCGGATGGGCGAGGGCGTCAGAGATTTGAGCGAGAAGGAGGCGACGTTCGACGTTCGAGCAGAGGGTATCGCAAGGGGTATCTCTCTGAAGGGGTTCCGTCGGGGGGGGGTGAACAGAGGTCGAGATCGGCGGGAGTGCGTAGGCTGACCCGGGGGGAGGGGGGGAGGAGGAGCAGGGTGATGTGATGACAAGGTGACGGCAATCTTGACAGGTGCGACGAGTCGAGAGAGAGAGAGAGAAAGTATCCAGTCGAGGAAGACGATGCTCCTTCTTCTTCTTCTCTTTCGCCTACCGGTAGAGGACGTTGAGAAGACGACGATGCTCTTGCGCTGTCGTACGGGAGAGAAGAGGGTCGGGGTGGCTGGCGATGGGTTGGTGACGATGGGTAGCGATGGCGGGTGGCTTTGATGGTGAGATCAGTCATGAAGAGGAAAGATGCCATGGGCGGTATCCGGTACGGCCACGGGAGACGAGGTGCGAGCTAAGTGCCGACCAACTAAGTATCCGATACTAGCCCAGTAGAGGGAGCCCTGGAGAGTGCTACGGCTACGGATACGGAGTGACAGGTAGCGGGCGATACCAGTGGTCTATCCACCACCGCCACCACCACCATTACCACGTATCATTCATCATCACGCATGCAATGCGGATACGTACAAGGACCTTTCCGTACCGTCGGACCGCTCTACCACGAATACCTGCGATGCCTGCGATGCCTGCGATGCCTGCGATGCCTGCAGCGGCGTACAGAGAGCGGCAGCGGTACCACTACCAGCCGTAGCAGCCCCCAGGCAAGATGATGCGTGCAGATTGATAGTTAGCGGCTTCAGCGTCTCCCGTGGCTCTCTAGGCATTCAGCAGGTGATCTAGCGGGGTTTCCGTCGGGGTTTTCAGCAGGCGTTCAGGGAACGGAGAGAACGGGATTAGCGTCCGACTTCTGCCGCGAGAGACCGCCCTCATCCTTACTCATCCGCATCACCGATCACGATCACGATACGCTGCAGAGAGGAGGGGTGGTGGTGCTTGGAGCGAGGGCCACAGCCTGGGATGTAGTTGCGAGCACGAGCCCTGTCATGTCATCTTGTCACCTCTTCCCATCCCTGATTCGAGAGTGATTTGCTTATCCAAGAATGAGTATTACAGCTAGCATGAATAAGAAGAGAGAGAAAAAAAAATAGTAATGTTACAGCATTTGCATCCCAGAGAGACCAACCTCCCCCAACCCCCCGGAGAGGGATCCGCGCCGAGACATCTTGTAGCCTCGTGCCGCTCAACCAACCCGACAAAAAAAAAACGCCCGACAGAGAAGCTCAGGAGACAGAGGAGAGAAACGCAGTGGTGTGCCTGTTATATATACCCAAAGGGTAGAGAGAAAAGAGTGGCAGGTTGAAAAAAAAAAAAAAAAAAAGACAAGAGGGGGTCGGGGTCGGGGTTGGGGTTGGGGTTGGGTTATGTGGGAAAAGAGTAAAAAGTAAAGAGAAAATCATGGAAATCCAAAAGAGGGAAGGGGTTCAGTAGTAACATGAAATAACCGACAAACAGCAGATAAACCACAACAAACAGTAACGTCTTTCTCACATCAAGGCATCTCTCTCTCTCTCACACACAAACAGGAATTTTTTTTTTTTGATTTTTTGATTTTTTGATTTTTTTTACCAAGCTCGCAGAGCTGGACGTGCAGGCATCGACCCCGGACCTCGATTCAGGTGATTGTCGCGGCCACCGAGCCTCTCGACCGTACGCAGGATGTTGACGGTGAAGTTGACGGTCCAGACGACGAGGGCGATGAGGAGGAAGGCGGCGAGGGCGGCGGCGAGGGGACGCACGCCCGTGGCCGTGATGTCGTTGAAGACGAGGGACTGGAAGGCGAGGGCGGTGCTGGCGGCCTTGAAGATGATGAAGATGACGTCGAGCATGATGAGCGACACCTTCGAGATGCCGGAGCGCAGGCCGAGCGGCTGGCCGGTGTACTCGTCGTAGATCATGTAGCCGAGGTAGGGGACGGCGACGCAGTCGACGACGATGGCCGTGATGGACTGGGACCTCTCGACGCTGGGGCCGCCGCCGCCGCGGTCGAGCAGGAGGAAGATGCGGCCGGCGATGGCCAGGGCGGTGATGGACGTGACCATGACGACCAGGCGGAACGCCAGCGGCGCCAGCGGGTGCCGCAGCACCCTCTCGAACGCGCGCTGGTTCAGGGCCAGCGCGCTCCTGCGCTTCGACCGCTGCGCCGTCTGCTCGTTGAAGGCGCCGTCCGGGTCCTGGCCGAAGAGCGGCTGCAGCTTCTCCAGGTACGCCGCGTCCACCACCACGCCGTCCTCGCCCGGCGCTCGCCCCCAGGCAGACGACCGGACGAACTCGCCCCAGGCGACGTCGCCGCCCCGGCTGTGGTTGTTGTGCGCCATGGCCGGCCCGTACGCCGGCACGATGACCGGCTCGGCCGTCCGCAGGTGGTCCCACCGTCGCCCGCCGCGCGGTGCCCGTCCGTACCGCAGTATGTGCGGTACCAGCGGCGGCCGCGGCTTGCCCGGTCCGAGCCCGTCCTCCAGGTCCACGAATCCGTCGTGCGATATGCGTTTCCGTTCCGGCTCACTCGGTGTCGAGTTGTTCTGGTGTGCGCGCACCGTAGCCGGCACCTGCAGCAGTGCTAGCTGCTCTGCCGTCGGTGGGACTACGCCCGTGTATGAGGCGATCCATGCTGGTGTTTCGATGCGTGTCAGATTCCATGCATACACACACACGCACACATACTTTTGTATGGTCAAATTCATTCCAGAGAGTTGGGGGGGGGGGGGGG